AGGCTGATTATGTTTACTTACATAACTGCTAAGGTAAAGGTCGAATTGTAAATAGATTGCAGTTTAAAAAATCTTCTGGTTCCTATTAAAATTATCGTTTTGTGATAGCAACATTTAACACGCAAAAGAAAATTGTGTATCAGAATTGCTACATAATTTTCCGCATGGAAACACCACAAATTTCACCTGAAATACATATTGAATTCTCACAAAAGCCCACATTTTAACTTACAATCACATAAAAGAAAACAACTCAATGACGTTAAAGCCATTTCCATTGGAAGTTCATAAAAGCAACCGCTTCTAAGTGGCCGCTATAATCAAACCACAAGCACAATCTGTAATACTTGTAAATTTACAAAGTATTAAAATTGAGCCAAGTGCAATCAAACGAAAAGAACGATGCACTTCATTTGCTAAAACCTGTTGAGCAACTCTTTTTTGGGAAGTCCCAAATCTTAATGATACTCTTTGCATAATTAGACTTTAGGCGGAGTTTAATGGCGTTTATTCAACAGAAGATGCTTAAATGTCACTCTACTATAATAATAGGGACTTTACTTGGTCAACTACAATACCAAAATTCCCTAGAGTCAACACTTAAAACTAAACCAGCTCCCGCACCAGGCTGCTGAGGTTTTAGAAAAATTACAACTAATGATATACATATGTACATACATAAATGTTCATTGACCATTCAAGGTGAGTAAAGGAGAAAATGGATAATTACCCTTTGCATTGAATATACCAGCGTCGATTGGTGATTAATAGGTGGTCACTGCTGTCGTGCTGCAATTAATTGATTAAATTGATCACTATTGCTTCTAATTGAAAACTGATATGACAATCGCCTAATTCACGCAAAGAGCTTACTTTTATTAAATTAACTTTAATTATTCGTGAATTTTAGCACGCTATCATGTTTTATAGAACTAACCACACAATATAATCGAATTGAACAAAAACAAGATAAGTTACTTTATTTAAGTGATATCAAGATTTAGAACAAATTTCACAAAATACCAAACGCGACGAATTCCCAGCTGCGACTAAACAAAGAACAGCTGATCGCTGTTAAACACAACGGGAATTCGCTTATCAGTGCAGGGTTGCATGACGTTGGCTAGTGTGCTTGCTGTATACAAACACGGTTGCCATTTCAAATTTATTTTTCTGACCTAAAAATGGACCAAATAGTAAAATTCACCAATTTATATTACATCGGGAAAATGAGTGGAGTTTATTCCTCTTTTTCAAGAAAATATGCCAATTCAGTTATTATAATGATTTTTTTTATATTGCATCCAAAGTGCATTACAATTGTGTATTATTAACATTATATTATTTAAAGTTGTATGGCCTTATTCCTAATAAATAAAGTAGGTTTTAAAAGCCTCATAAATTGACGTTTTCATACATTTTTCAATTTATAAACCTTTTATAAGGCTAATTTATTTTTTATGAATGAGGCCATTAAATTATAATATGTTTCTTAATTCCGTTTTTATTAATGCTAAATCAGAAAATTACCGCTCAGCTGCTGCGGAACTGTGAGGCAGAATAAGAATGTTATGAGCTAAATCACACAATTCTCCAAAGGTCACTTCACGCATTCCGTTTTTAATCAAACTTACTTGATCCCAAAAGCGTTCTATATTGGTACGGTTTTTGAAGTTACCTTCACACCGCCTCAATTTGCGAAATTGAAATTCAATTATGTCTGCATCATTTACCAATGCAGGAAATTGGTCGAGTAGCGCAAAAATTGCTACATCAGTGTCAAAAAGAACATTATGTGGTATAATAGTTTCAAGATGTTTAATATCTTTTCGATTGAAATCGAATATTATTTTCTGTGTTAAATGCTATGATTTAAGTTTTGCTACCTTTCCATATTTTTGCCAGCCACTTAAATATTGGTCACCGAGTAACTGAAATTAGCAAGAAACCGCGATATTTATTGAAGAGTGCTTTGAAAGATGATTAGCCGTGCCATATTTGAAGATCGGTGGTAAGGCATGTTCACACTTTAAGCAGCTATTGCCAATCGCACTATGCGGAATATCTTCATAGTCATCGTCAACGATCATCAGCGCATCAGTAACATGGCTGACGATGGCGATATTCAACATAGGGCGGAATATTCATCGATTAAATAGAAAAAAATTAAAACGCAAAACTATTGCATGAAGTGAAAGCGTGATAATAACCTAACCAGAGGCTTGTGAAATGGACTATTCTAAAAATATTTGGAATAATGGACCAAACGAAAAGAAATGGACCAAATTTGGCCATTTGGACCAAAACGGCAACCGTGAATACAAAGTAGTTAAAACAAAATTGATTTTTGGAATTCTAGACGTTTATAATACCATGTAGAGCTGTAAAACTATCGATAGTCATCCCATTCCATGTTTTCGATAGTTTGCATTCAAGCTATCGATATTATATAAACTTTTTAGTTTTGTTTAGTTCCTGAAGAATTAGCTAACTAATTGTTATATAGCGATTTTCAGAACTTTGTACTTTCTCTTCGATACAAGAATCTCAGAAATTTCACTAACCCTGGCTTATATCAATAGTTTCTTCCATCGAAGCAGAATCACTAACACCATGGTATGGTTCCAAAGTCTAGGTTCAGACAGAGAACGAGGAAGGGCACCGAGTTTCTCGTGCTCGGGCAACATGCTTTGTGCTCTCGTTCATCTGAGTAATTCTAGTTGGCCGCTCACAGCTGACAACAACAATTGTGTACAAAAGAATTGCTCTGTGGGCAAGCGAAGGGCAACACCAAAAGAGAAATTGCCGAAAATGAGAAACAAAAGTTTCTCTGTGTGAACTTAATCAAAAAGATATTCAAACTAGTTTTTTCAAATATAATTTCATCCGATTTACATGATTCAAATACTTTAAAGCAATTCTGGTTCATTCTCTTTTGTGTTTTCTATTTGCGAAAATGTCAAATGCAAAGCTCGAAACTTGAAACCATTTGGCGGTACAGACTCACCCCTCTCCCACAAGCAAGCAGAATCGATTTCATTAGCGATCCCGTGTTACTCTTTCGCTCTGATCGAACTTTTATTTTTTGACAGTTTTTCCTCAAACAAAGAGGCTGACTTCCAAAACGTCAATTGCTTTGCATACGTACAAAGTATAATGTTCCATAACGCCGAACTACAAAATTTAGACAATGTATACTGTTTCAAAACGCATCCTAAAAGTTATCGAAACGCATCGCTAGAGCAATCCGCGCGTCAAGCTGATGCCACATAAAACTTTTGCTTCGCTTTACGTGACAGATAAGATGAATTGTATAAAAATGCACAAAGCATACCACATAGATCATTGAAGCTGCAGCGCGAAGCGAAAAGATGGCCAACTCCCATCTTTGGGCGCTTTGACAATCAGCCGGTTTAAGATTTATTTTGTTTCGTCCAAATTAGAGTATTCATGCAGAAACATAAAACTCAATTACATTGCTGATAATTTTAAAGCAAAATATCTAAAATCCACAGCAATCTTGACGAGTAAAAAAGCAGTGCAAAATTGATTTCTTGGCGTTCATTGTGGCATACATTTTGCGTATGGCGCTTTGCTGGAAAAGTTATAAATGTCACGCAAAGCTACAAAGTTTTATCTGGCATCAGCTTCAGAAACAAAGTTCAACAAAGTCACAGATAAGCAGGAAAAAACACGTTATACAAAAACAGTCGTAATATTTATACATAGGATAACAACAACATATGTGTAAATTATTTGAAAAAAAAAATCATTGATATTAATTTTAAAACGTTCTCTACATGAGTAAAGGTCGACATAATTACAAATAGAGTTACATAGACAAATGGATCTGTGAATGGGCTCATTCGTTTTTCGCGTTGGTACATAAAAAATGTATTTTTCTCGTTAGTACCATAGACAGTTTTACAGCTCTAATACCATTTTCGGACCGACAACGAAAACACTTTGAAAATGAGTTTTGGGATTGTGGGCTGAAAGCTGTTCGCACCGGCTGTTAGTGTTTAGGTTCACATTTATTTCATCCTTTGTTTACAGTTTTGCTACGAAAAATAAAATCAAAATCTTTGTCTTTCATTTTCTTATCATTAGCAACCCTTTTCTTTGGTTCATATTTTAATTTGGCCAGCCAATTGACAATAAATTCCCACTAGTGTATTAAAGATGATAAAATATGACTTCCACTTTGATAAATATATCTAAAATACTTGTGAAGACACCGATTGGTATGAGTGGAACCTGAGTTTTCAAGTAGTTTTCAACAAGTTTTAGGTCGAAAACCAGCTATAGCAACGAAAACATGTTTTCGATATCGGTCCGTACATGGTATAAGGACATCACACCATGAATTATTTTTTACTTTAAATGACAATAACAGGATACCTCAGACATTAAATGGATAGCTTGAAAAATCCTAAATTTGAAAAGTAATTGTCTTAAAAGTATAAATCTAACTCGTAATTTAAAAAGTGAGATATCTGGTATGTTGTTCGTCATTCATATTTAGTACTTCGAACAAATTTGTTAACAATTTAATAACATTGCAATACTGAAGTGTTTTGACGGCACTTAAAGTAATCATTGAAACTGAAAGTACAGCATAATGCTGGATTTCCACTTGTCATTAAATGGCAAAAACTTTAATGGCAAAGTTGATTTTTAAAAAATATTTCAGACATTACGTTGAAAATATACTAATTAATTAAATCCATTTCCACATGACATTTTTTAAATATGTCCAATTTTTTATAACTTCAATACCTATTCGGCACAGTGGACGTGTAATTAATTATTAAAGACTTTTTGTGCTCTTGCAATTGCACATGTAAAGTTTTACTTGAAATTTAGTTTGTTTTTCTTTAACTACCTCTTTGAAATTCACACCGGACTCACATTATCACCCCTGGCTGCACTTTAATTTTCGTACTAAACATTTGTTTTTGCGCTACAGCAACACCATCATAGTTTGTAAACAATTAAGCTCAAATAGTTGGCAACGTGGCCTTGACAGCTGAGCCCGTAAAAAAATCATCAACGCGTAGTTTTGTAAACGCCACAAAATAAACTGAATTTTACGAATATTCGGCATTAAATATCACTTTCAATGGCTACAAGTAACGCAAAAGGCCTCAAAGCTTCAACGTTTGGTGCTAGTTCATCGGGAGGTGGTAACAGAACTGGCGGAAAAACCGGCCCAGTTTCGACAACATCGCAGCCCGATGCTGACTCAGTCACCAGCACCATTAATATACCGCTCATAAAAATAAAAGACAGTAGCAAACAATTACCCACATACCATGCAGCGCTACAACGTTCTGCAGAGGATTATCTAGCCGCCGAGGATTTGGATAACATACAGTTGGAACTTGAAACTCTACTTTCAAGTGTGGCGCTTCGTTACCGCGTCTTGAAGTCGGAGTATGAGAGCTTGGACAAAGATGAGCGTCGTATCGAACGACGCTCCAAACATGGTGCCAGTGGCGCAGACACTCCAATAGCCAATGCGGGTGCTTCGTCCAGCGGCAAACGTAAGCGCGATGAAACATCAAGCGTACGCAAACCGAAACACACACCCGCATCATCGTTAAAATACTCAAAACATGCCAAAAATAGCCCGGTTGCGCCAAATACGGATGATAGTTTGGATTATGTACCACCATCGGGTTCGCATGGTCACGGTCAAAACCGCGATCATCACTTGCAAAAGGTGACATTGCCCAAAAATGACACACCAAATAAATTTTGGCTTTCCGTCGAACCGTACTGTATGCCATTAACAAACGAGGACCTACGTCTGCTCGATGATCTATTGGAGCAGTATTCTGGACCATTAGTGCCACCAATACCAGAGCTAGGGCCACATTATTCTAGCATTTGGGCCACCGAAGATTTGAAGGAAGTGCAACAAGCTTCAAATCCAAATGCCAATTCAAATCGTTTGAAACCGCAAAACAGCGCTTCAAATGCTATGATAAAGAAAGCTGAGTCTATAATGGACGAATGTGTTACTGGACCCTTGACACAGCGTCTAGTGTCGGCGCTACTAGAAGAGCAGCTAATCCAAAATCCCAGTGAGTTGTCCGCAGCTGCAGTTGCCGATAGCAGCAATAGCAGTAGCGAAAATACGCACTCCTCAGCACAAATGAATTTCCGTTCGCTGTCTTTGCTACGCAATTGCATCGATATTGAAAAACGTGTTAAAAAGGAACTCATCGAACAGGGTATTCTTGATTTGAACGATTTTCCAAACAATGATGAAGACGAAATTCACGCAGAGATAAAACGTCTAATTGCCGAACTATCTGCAATTGCAGAGTACAATGGTGCCGCACTGAAACGGTTGCATGAATCAGCCGCTGAGGAGATCAAGCGTCTAGAAATCAAACGCAAACTTGACACAATCGATCAGGAAATACTTGAAGCCTATAAACGTACAATGCAAAATAAAGCCAAACGCAAGCCACTCAGTACCGAGGATCAGCAAGAAATTTATCGCTTGACTTCGGAGCAAAAAGCGCTTTCTGACCAGTTGGAGCGCATACAGGCCAATTGCTTTCTATATGAATAGTTTTTAGCCACCACTGGTGGAGGGCAAGAACAACCAGATACGCGCGTTAATAGTGCAGCACCTGAACGCTCTATACTAGTGGCGCTTTTAAATGAGAAATAGTAATTATTTTCACAATTGAACTATTGAGTTTAAAAAACGGCATAATTTAAACCATTTTTTTTGTCAACTACTATACATATACATACATACTGAACTTACCGCGAGCAGCACACCTCTTCACTGTAACACAATTAAAAACGTAATAAACAGCCAATATGCTGAAACACTGAGGACTTTAAAATCGTAGTTGTGTTAATTATTCGAAGCTAGGGAAAATCGGAAACTGAAGATTGTTTGAGAATGAATTCGAGGTCACAGCTGCGGCCATTAAAATGAGAACGCTTAGTTTTTAGTAAATCAACTTTTGGATGACCGAATGTAGAGCTAAATCTGTCGACACATATTTTCCCTTTGAAATGGTTACATAGTATAATCATTTTCGAAAAAACCCTTCTGTGGGATTAATACTTAAAATTACACAAAGGCCACAAAATGTATAGTAATAAAGTGCTATGAAAATATGTTAGCCTCCACAGTACCTGTTGCACTACCCGCTAGAGGTTTACGCCGACAGGCTTTGCGGCGGCGGCGTGGTCAACGTCAAAAAGATTCGGCGGCGGCGGCGACGCCGGCGCGTCTGGAAACGCCGGCGCTACTTCTCATAAGGTAGATTTCAAAGAGCCATGAGGCTACTAATCTTATCATTTCAACTCGTCAGCGTTAGGCATTCGCCATGCCAATTATTCTATTATTATAATTCTATTTACTTCATTATTGAATTAGTTTTAAATTTAAATATTGTTACTTCCTACTTGAATTAAAATGCAATAATCGGTACGCAATACTCGGTACCCAATACTCGGTACCGGATACTCGGTACCCAATACTTCAGAAAGATTTCGGTTCAACCATATTATTTTTTCTTTTCTTTACTAGTAGAAGAATAAATCTGTTGAATTAAAAAAGAAAATAGCCGGACAAGCTTTACAAAATACAGGATCGCAAACATACATATAAATCTAGTTCCTCCAAGGAGAAGAATTGCATTTCCTTTAGAAGTTTTAAGTGATGCATTTTTTCGTACTCACAGGAGGAAATATTTTCTAATTGCAAAGAACGAGATAACAAGAAGGAACAACTCGTTGTAATTGTAGTGTAAAGTGGCAACAGCGCGTGCATTCTCTTTTGCTCTAGTACGTTTTTTAATTGGATGAAAAGAGAAGGCACACCCTGTTGCTCTCTTTCGCTACAATTATAACGAGTTGTCCCTTCTTATTATCGAAGCTCTTTGCTAATAGCATGGTTCTGTTAACTTTTTCTAAAAAATCTCTAAAAGGGGACCATAGCCGCACGTATTTTTTTCAAAGGGTTAAGAAATCAAAATTTTCATAAAGGTTGGGTCAAAGGGTATTGGCGCTTAGAAAGAGTCCAATTGCCCTTTTAGTCGCATAACGGCAACACGGACCACATATCAAAACACTCTCATCGTCTTCTTGATATTGTCGCCACAGCAAAGAACATATCAAGGCGAATTTATACAATTAGACAATTATGCCAAAATGATGTGTTTGTTGTAATATGAATTCGCCGTGTATTACAACAAACACATCATTTTGACATAATTGTCTTGACAATATTGTCTAGCAAGGCGAATTTAAAAAAGGTGGGGTTGATGGCGAATTTAGATTTCCGCCGGTACTTCCTAATGTCAAAATGATGTGTTTGTTGTAATATGAATTCGCCTGGTTTACAACAAACACATAATTTTGACATTGATAAGTACCGCGGCGAAAATCTAAACACCACCTTGTATAAATTAGCCTTGATTGTCTAGTGTAAACCAAGGCGAATTTATACAAGGTGGTGTTGTAAAATCAGCTGATTTATTCGCCTTACTTTGTTTTTGCTTTTACTGATTTGACAGCACACCCATCAAAAGCAAAAACAAAGTACATGTAAACTTTGGAGCGAACTGGGCAAGGTGTATTAAACAAGGTGGTGTTGGGGCGACAGCTGAGTTTTTCGCCGTGGAGGCCATTACGTCAAAATGATGTGTTTGTTGTAACTCATACCAATGACAGTATGGACATCAGCGTATAATTTGTTAGTGTAATTTTTTACTTATATACGGCCAACACCACCTTGTTAAATACGCCTTGGAACTGGGATTTGACATAACACCTTCCATACAAAATACATGTGGTTGTCGTTGTTGTAATCTAAATTCGCCAGAAACAAGGCGAATTTATACAAGGTGGTGTTGATGGCGAATTTAGATTTTTGCCGCGGTACTTCTTAATGTCAAAATGATATGTTTGTTGTAAAAAGAATTCGCCTTGTTTACAACAAACACATCATTTTGACATTCAGTGGTACCGCGGCGAGAATTTAATTCGCCATCAACACCACCTTGTATAAATTCGCCTTAGCCAGAAACATCACCT